AACAATTATTAAAAACTAGATCATTGGATAATGCAATTCAAGACTTCTTATTGGCTTAGCCATTATGGTCTATCAGCCAATATACCATAATCTACAAATATGGCAAGCTTACGTTTCAGCTTAAGATTAAAAGGGAGCTAAGAATTTAATAAAATTTAATTGAACGTTTTTAATAAAACAATTATTCCACTCGCGCTTGTTGGATATGAGATGATTATAGCCAACTCGGCGCTACGCGCCTCGTTGGCTATCTATCATTTCATATCCAACGCATGCTCGTGGAATAATTGTTAAATATTTTATACTTTAATGTAAATACACAATTTTGAAGGTCAGTGGCTGCAAGCTTTTTACAAATAAACTATCTATCATCTATCTATCTATCTATCTATCTATCTATCTACCTACCTACCTACCTACCTACCTACCTATCTATCACAATATCGTAACATTTTCGAGCAAAAAGGTAACGAGAAGAAAAAAATATCAATGAGGGGATGTTTCTTGATTTAACAGGAAGTTCCTAGCACAGTCACAGGAGACTGTACAGAGAATATATATTTAGATCTTAGGAGTAAAAGGCAAATTGTAGAAGAATTTAAAATTGTTTGGTTGCATGTATCTTTTTTAACTTTGAAATGTAATCCTATTTAGGAACAATCACATCATTATAATTTCAGTTAAATAGTTGAAAAAGTAATGCAGGCCGGTCATGTTGAGCTACTGGTATTAAGCACTCTTTACTTGAATTCATAATCTGTACAGTTAAATTAACTTTAATGTTTTTTTCAATTTTTTAGACTGCATTCTTGCCTGATGGTCTTAAAAAACTATGGAATGAACTCGTTAAAGATGGAGAAATTGTGAGGAAGGTATCAGATATAAAGATGAACAGCGATGGCATTCCTGCTCAGAAAGGATCAACAGGAAAATTTTATTGTGGTCTCCATATTCTTAAATGTACTTGCTGTGAGGGTCAGTGCGGTCCTGACAAGGGCTGTAACTGTGAGCCTTGCCAGAAATTGGACCAGGAAGACAGGGAACAAACAGAAGAGGAGGAGAGAGCCCCTTCTACAGCAGGTCCCCTGATGGACTCTTGGACATGGGGAGAACAGCCAAGTACCGAACAATTAAAAGAAGTACTACAAGGACTTGTCTTTGAACAAAGGGAACTTGCAAGCCAAGCTGCAGGAACAACATTGTCAGCAATGAGACTTCAGCAGCGTTTAGCTGTGTTAGGACGTTATTTCATTGCTCTTTCAAGGGAGCAAGAGTCTAATGCATTTAAGACAAGTTGTAAAAAGAGCATGAAGATGGAGAGACAAGACACTGGTAAAAAGAGGAGGAAACGTGGCAGTGCTGATACAGAACAGGCTTCCCTGGGCTTAGCTAGAATTGGTGCCAGGGCAGCTTTGTCATTCGCATTTGCTTTTCTGCGTCGTGCCTGGCGATCGGGAGAAGAGGCAGACTTGTGTCGTGAGCTTCTTGATGAAGCACTAGAAGCTTTACAGTGTCTTCCAGAAGCAACTTTGTTTGATGAAGCTTCAGTATCTCCTGTTTGGTTAGAAGTGGTTGAGCGTGCAACAAAGTTTTTAAGATCAGTTGTGGCAGGGTAAGTGTCAGGGTGCAGTGATGTCTAAATCTATGTTTTGAGTGACAAAACTGTACCTCATTTCCTGGTACTTGTGTGTCTAGGATTTGATACAGTAACTTGCATGGCTTATGCTGAAGTTCTGTACTTCTTTACTATTCCCCCTGTAATTATTACTGAGTGCAGATTCAATCAAGCCTCGATTATTCAGACTCTTGGGGTCTTGGCTGAATAGTCCAGATAATTGGCAGTCTGATTATTTTACGTGTGCTTTGTTTGATGGAAGAAAGTTGTTATGGATCTCTAATGTGACTAATTAAAATTCATAAAGAATTAAAAAGATTTTGTACAAGAACAAGAATATTTGCACTGTTGGAAAGTCTTCAAAGTGAGTAGAAAGGGAATAAAGAATAAAGAAGAAATTTTGTCATATGACATAGCCCCACTCATGCAGTCCCACAGAAAACCATAATAAAAGCTGACACATGCAGGGCTGGACAGGTTGACGTGAGCTGGTCCTGTAAAAGCTGTCCAACCCTGCTGCCCTCGTGTTGCTTTATGGGAAAAACTTAAAGGAAAACAGAAATGACAAAAAAAATATCACATTTTTCAAGGAATTGGGAGTTTTTTAATCTGACTTGCAAATATAAAAGAAAGTTTTAATTCGTGAATTTTTTTTGTGCTCATGTGGCTGCCTGTGCCCTTCTATCATGTCCTATTTAGTTTGAAATTTTGTTTGTGCAAGTCTCACACTCAGTGCATAAGACTTAAGAGCTCTGGATACTAAAAAGTTTGATCAGAATGTGACGTTCCAACATATTTTTTTGTCTTGTTAGGAAAGGAAACGAAGACAGAGTGTATTGCAAACCTCTTGATTCTGTTCCAGTATCTGATCAACATGTGGCTTTGGGAATCCTATTAGAACTTGGTGTACAGAGAGGCACTCTTCAGCACATGTTGGAAGTCATCTTGTTGATGCTGGAGCTGTGGGATAGTGGACAAGATAACGACACAGACTCTTGTTTCACATCAGCTCCATTAATTCATTTATTGAGAAGGTTTGAGGAAGTAACAGGTGCTTCGCATAAGGCACTGGAACCAAACAAGTTGGCAGAAGAGGTAAATTTCTGATCTCGTAAGGGTCCTATGACACTCACCTCAGTTGTAACCATACCTTAATTTTTGTGTGAGCAGTTTAAACAACTGAGAATAAAGTACCTCTCTTTACTGAGGCTACCTCTGTGCCCAAAAACGTTACCAAAAATAACTTAGGACAGCTGGTAAAATTTCTTGTATAACTGTTTCATGTTGTTAGGATACTGTATTATACTTGTACATACAGGTGTGTGTATTTGAAACATTTTGACAAATTTTCACACATTAACTGTTTAACAAATGGAGTCCATGTTGCTGTGTGTCTGGTCATTTATAGTGTGCATGTAGATCACAGTGATGTTAAAATGTGGCAAGGGCACTCTTAGTTGTACATGTACATTTACATAACATACATGTATGTTAATTTATCTGTGACAAAAAAGTGGCTTACAAGGCACTTGTAGCCGTGTGTTCCACTGGTGTTGATGTCATCTCTGATCTAGCTATTACAGTTCAGACCTACATGTACAGCAATATGGAACCAATTTGTTCTGTTTACAGTTGAAAAAGCAAAATGTTGTTAATGGTGACATCATCTATGCCGCAGCAGGCCTCCAATAGATCATAAGTATTAGAGCCAATTAAAATGAGTGGATAATTCAGCTTATCTTGAAAATAAATTGTGCGGCATACTATACGGTGCTAACGTGGCCATTTCTCTTGTCTTTTTTATTAATAATTTTGGATATATCAACAAAGTTGAAGTGGTAAATTGGCCACCGTAACGATTACAAAAGCTGACGTTTCGAGCGTTAGGTGCCCTTCGTCAGAGCGAATAGAGGAATTGTGGGTTGTGTGTGCTTTTAATGGCAGAGAATGGAGCTACGTTATTGGTGGGAACATGGCAATGAAAAAAACAAGAATAAATTAGTGGAATGAAAAGTGGTCGTTGATCCCTGTGGGATTTAGGCTGATAGTTTTGAAAGAAACTGTTTGGGGCTGCGTCGGTGGGAGTAACAAAATAACTTGGATATATCAACAAAGTTGAAATGGTAAATTGGCCACCGTAATGATTACAAAAGTTGACGTTTCACGTGTGAGCCCTTCGTCTGAGTGTGGGATTTGGACTGCCAGTTTGAAAGATGAGCTTTTGTTCAAGATTTTTACGGCTTTCCATGCTACCTAAGTGTAAGGAAAGACCGCGGATTGCCATATGTTGCTTAGAATGATTAGGTAAATTAAAATGTCTAGCGACTGGTTTCAATGTGTCCTTGTCATTCCTTTCCACGTCTCGAAGGTGTTCTCGGAATCGGTCACCTAGTCTTCTGCCTGTTTCGCCGATGTATATCTTTTTGCAATAAGTGCAAGTTATGCAATAGATTACATTGGCGGAGGTGCACGTGAAGTGATCGGTGATCTTAATGGATCGTTTAGGTCCCGATATTTTATCAGTGTTGTGAATGAAAGGACACGTTTTGCATCGTGCACGAGCGCATTTAAAAGTGCCTGGTTGGTCATTAGTCTGAAAAGAACTTCTGACCAAAAAATTGCCTATGTTTTTGTCGCGTTTGAATGAAATGAGCGGAGGCTGCGAAAAGATAGTGCTTGTCTCTGGATCGTTTTGAAGTAATTTAAAGTTTTTAAGAATGATGGATTTAACTGAGTGGTTGTGAGGGTGAAACGTGAGAGTGAATGGAATGCGGTCGGAATCTTCCTTATGCGACGTTTGTAGTGCTGAATGTCGATCAATAAGTT